TTTCACCATGGATTTGAATTCATACCATTACTAGAAATGTGTGATGCAGATAGTACAGCTCAAAACACTTTAAATTTTTTCTTGAATGGCTTAATGTATAATTTTGAGTAGGTTGTGATTAAAAATTAATAAAAGAAGCCCACTATACAGTCAGGTAGCCAAAAACCATCAAATTTTTGTTTTCTTTCTTGTATGCATACAAGAAATATGTCGTACATTTTTTAAAGTATATATTTTTAAATATTCCACAAAATATTTAAACTTTTCAAATTTTGTTTGATTTTTTATGGAATTTTCACCCTATTGGCCCTTTTAATTTTCCTCTAATGAGAGCTCTGGTGGTATAGTGCCTAAGGCATTTGACTGCTAACCAGAAGCCTGGCAGTTCAAACCCACCAGCCATTCCTCAGAAGGAGGATTGGGCAATCTGCTTCCATAGAGATGTTGTTGTTGTTATGTCCCGTTCAGTCAGACCTGACTCATAGCGACCCCTCCTTGGGTTTCCAAGGTGGTATCACTACAGAAGTAGATTGCCCAACCTTCCTTCTGAGGAGTGGCCACCTCAGAAACCCAAGGAAAGATTATGAGTCGGGATCACCTCAGTGGCAGTGAGTTTGGTTTTTTTAATGAATATAAGCCCAGCCATAGTTGGTTAAAAGTTAGCCCTTTTCAGTCAGCCTTGCCAGGCTGGGCCATTCTAATTTGTGTACTTAACATTTTATGAGAACATGAGAGTCCAAACCTTAGTTCTCACATTGGAATTTGTGCCATTAAATTGCTGTGAAAAATAAGTACTTCATAGCCCTTGACGATGATAAATACAATGTCCTTTTCATGCTGTGGCAGATGGAGGTTTATGGATAGCAATTTATTCTGGCTCAAGGGTTTTATTTTATTTCCATTAAGAAAATACATTTTTCTCTTACCTTGCTTTGTGGAAACTAACATTATGTTGTAATGTGTGGGTTTCATCCTAGTATGATTGTCACCTGCGTATAGTCAAACAGTACTTCTAAAAGAGTCCTTTGGAAAGACTGTCCAAAAGAACAGCACTCTTGAGGGTGCACACTGCACAGATAGAGTGGTCTAGAAAGTAACCGTGCCTGCTATATAACACAGCACACGTTTTGAAATAATCTCAGTTGAGGGAAAAATATTCCAATCCCACAAAGTTGCTTCATTTCTTATCACTTAGTGGAGATGAACCAATGTGGTCCACTTGTGTCCTTCAGCATTTTACCCCTTACTTTTTGAAACAGAATATCTGAAATGTATTATGTGACTTTACCAATTTAAGATCATGTCTTACTAGTCTCACCAATCATGCTATCTAGCAGAGGAAATAGGGTAATGGTACTGCTAAGAGCATTCAACAGGAAAAAGTAAAATAGGGTGATAATCAGTTTCACTTCTGCTCACCATGTCAGAAATTACCATTTAAGCTCCCAACCTATAAATGTCGAAGTAGTCGGGTTTTCTGTGTAGCAGAATAGTACCAAACTATAGATCAGGTTTGCAGCACTGTCAGGGAGTTCCAGCCATGTCTTAAGTCATTTATAAAAAATAGTTTGTAAAATTAATCTGTAATTGCTATCTCATTCTCTCAGGAAAGACCAATTTGTGATGAAAAGCAAGGTTGGTAAGATAGGTCAAGCATTGCTGATTGCAAGGTTGGCAAACTACAGCCCAGGAGACAAATGGGCCAATCTTGGTAAATTAAGTTTTGTTGAAAGACATTGACATTCATTCATTTACATGTTGTCTTGACGGCTTTCTCACTACCACAACAGAGTTGAGTAGTGGCAGCAGAGATTATATGACCCACAAAGATGAAAATATGTATAATCCTGCCTTTTACCAAAAAAGTTTTCCAACTGGTTTATCTCACTGGCCCTTTCAAGGCTTGTAGGGATAACAATAAGACCAGAAATAGGCAAAAAAAACTTTTTAAAGTTTTCAACTTTTAAAAGTTGAATTCTATTCAAGACCTTCAAAACACCTCAGCTAAGGAATGATTTCTGAG